TATAAATAAATATAAATATGCGCATATATTTATTTACATGTATATATTATAAATATGTATGTATTCTTAATTAGCTGTATTTATCATCGGTAATGCATTCAATAGAAACTAGTGAGCAAAACTTAACTGTTATGATTTACGAGTGTCGAATACATAAAAAGAGAGAAATAGAGAGAGAGAGAGAGAAGCGAAGCCAAAAAGTTGATATTTGATTATTTCTTTTCTCAATTTGTTTGCTCACTTTAATACTAAGAGCAAAAACATACGATTCATCTTTTTTTATAGTATAACTGATGTGAAGAGAGCAATGAGAGTAAATGATATTCTTTTTTATCTTTTTGAGTATGATTAAACTTGCTCAATCGAAGATTATTAACTAGTTTTAATTCTTTGAACGAGTAAAAAACACGTGATTTTTGGCATAGTGATATTTTTACTGGAAAATGTTAGATTTTAAAGCCTTCACTTACTAAATTTAATGCATTTTCAATGACATAAAGTGTAGTTTGTGTGTATTTTGGTTTTTCGCTTCATTAAATATCACTTTTTATATATTAGATACAATAAATTTTTGAGTTTTACGTCCGAAAATAGTTAAAGTTAAAATTCGCAGGAGTGAGAAGATTCTTAAAGTAGTGTTTAGTTTTAGTGTTTTAGTTTTTGATTTGTTGCGTAAAAAAGTTTGCTTTTAAAAAATTTACAATATATGTCATACGCTAATCCCTTATCAACAGATCCTCATGCAATGTTTTCTAACGGTAAGTAAAGGCACGTAATATCGCCTCATGATTTTTTGCTCTTGTTTTCTTACTGCCTTAAATGATCTTTTAAATATTCAACAATGACAGTTAGCGGGGATAAATGAGATAAGAATATAATTCCTTAGAGACGAAAATTTTGAACGAGTTTTTTAACTTTATCGTCATTCGATTTGCTTAAAATTTGAACGGCAGCGTGAAAATAAGATTTTCTAATGGACACCGTGGGTTTTCTTCGATACATTACAAACTGGCGATTCTATGGCCGATTTTCACACAATTTTTTTTAAAAACTAGAAGTAATATTCAAATCAGAATCTTTTTTCTTTTTTTAACCTTTAGGAAACTCGCAAGAATTTACATTTTTCGATTTTTGACTTTTTCAATGTTTTCTGTTTATTACTCATAAGATTAACAAAACACGCACACACACACACACACACACACACACACACACACACACACACACA